TTTGCTGTCAATCTATGCTATACAATCTATGCTACAACGAATCTTTTCAGGTGTGTGGGGGTTTTTTTGGCAGACAGAGCGGGGTGTGCCAGGGATTGAACTTAGGGGCACTCATCCACTAGGCCACATCTCAGCCTTATTTTCTATTTTACTTAGAGAGGGTCTGAGTTGCTTAGTGCCTCATTTTTGCTGAGGCTGGCTTTGAACTTGGCATCCTCCTGCCTCAGCCTCCCAAGCTGAGATTACAGGTGTGTGCCACCGTGCCCAGTCTTAGGTATGTTTTATATGCAAAAGCTTCTCTAAGGCCCATGTCTAAATAAGAAATAGTTGTATCCTCTCCAATTTTATGAGATCAGGCTAACTTGGTCTTCATAGTAGTTATACTGATTGATAGTCCCATGAAACTGCTCAGTTTTTGCCAACCTTGTGGGAGCAAAATAGCTTCTCCTTGTGATTTTAATTTACATTGATTGCTTTGATATTAGTAAGGCTGAGTGTCTTTCATGTTTATTGGATGTAAATTATCTGTATCCTTTGCTAATTTTTCTATCATGACATCTAATTAATTTTTAGGAGTCTTGGTATTGTTCTGTGAGTCTTTTCACTTAGTTTATTATCTCCTTTGATGCACATAAGTTTTTCAATGTAGTCAAATTTATTAGACTTTTTGTTTACTCACCAGTATCTATGGAACATTTAATCATGTGGTGGGGTTTTACAGTGAAGGAAGCCAGGGTGGAAAATAGACAAATAAGTATCACCACCTCACAGTACGATTGGAAAGATAAAGCAGGGCAAAGGAAATGACAATGGCATTAGACAGGATATGGAGGAAAGGCTCTCCAAAAACATTTTACTGAATTAAAATTTTAAATGAAGCAAGAATGAGCATTTTTTCTGCTTAAAAAAATGCTTCCCCATTCCAAGGCCATGAAGATAGCCTATGGTGTTATCTTCAAAAATTTTTGTCTTATGCAATTAGATCAACCTGCAAACACCTGTGTATGGGGCAAAGGAGAAATCTAGTACTTTTCCCATTTTGAAATCAATTATCTGAGCTCTGCTGACTAAGTGGTCTATCATTTTCCCACTTATCTGCAAGAACGACTTCAGCATATATCGAATTTCCACATGTGCACGTACGTCTTTTGGGACTGCCTTTGACTCATGTGTCTCAACTTTGTATCACTCAGTGAGATATTTTGTCTACCCTCAACATTATTTTTTATGTTCACCTATGTTGACATTTATAACTATAATTCATTCATTTTACAATACCATATCCAACATCATCCTGAACAATAATCCACACACACACACCTTCTCTTTATTTATTTTTCCTATTGTAAATAATATCGATATAGACCACACTTGCATGTCTGCTGGTGTACTCTCTCTCCAGGGCACCTCTCCAAGGGTGGAGCCACTGGCTGAGAAGGTGTGCGAGTGCACAACTTGATACCATGAGGCTTTAAAATGGTTCTGAAACTCCGCCCTTTCAGGTCATGCTGACCTGCATCCATGCTGATACAGTTACTGCCAATTCCCTGTGGCAGATGGAATAAAAATTAAATGGTATCTCATGGTGAACTAAGAAATAGTACAGACCACAGGTGAGAGAAGTTCTCATTATAATACCACAGGGAGAGGACTCAGTTCCTCTAGGAGACAAATGTACTGCAAATCCTGTGTCTGAAATTTAGAAAGAACTGAGGTGGTTATTACATGAACATGTATTAACCCAGTTGGTTCAACAGTAAAAGAAACACTTCTTTATGAGAAAAGGTAATTATTTTAATGATTTGTTTTGATAGTGAAAAATCAGCTTTACCAACTAGGTTACAGGGCCAAAAATAAAAAATCCACTAATGGAACAAGATAAATTATACCCCAAGGTTTTAGTGAAGTACAACCACATACATAACACACACATATAACACAAACACACACAGAGAGCACAGTATAACAATTATTAACTATGTTATGCTTTCAAAGATAGTATGAAATTAACGTTTCCATTAGTTTATCTAGGTGAAAGAGAAACTGGTATACTGATTTGTTGTGTTTGGGTTTGGTTTTTTTTTATCTTTTTAGCACCTTTTTCATATACATTTCAAAAATCTGAGAAAACTGAATGACTCTAATGACAGAATAATAAATTATTTTGCAAGTTACTCGGTTTCCAATTATTTTCTTCCAAAAAAATTGAACAAAGGCCTGATTGAGTTGTCACCAGAAAGATCATTAAGAGGGAGTTTTCATGATAAACAGCAGTGATTTTTGGTTCACTGAACCGAATGATCTTTCAATAACAAAAATTATGTATGTGAATAAAGAATGCAACTGATCTTGCAATTTGTCTCAAAGGCAAAGACTGCTGGACAAAAGAACATCACTCAACAGTATGATCTAGTGTGGGGCAAATGGACTGGAAATACACTTCAGAGAAAAATGAACAATGTAAAATTCCCAGTTATCGATATTTTCATGTGGTTTTTAAGTAGATTCTGATGGCAGATATCTCAGCTGTTTCCATGAGATACACTAGAAACTGAAGAGAAAGGATCACTTCAAGACACAAATGTATGAAACGTACTATAAAAAATCACACCTTTTCCTCCCGTTCACATGTTTGGAGAACACATCTAGAACCTAAGAACTTGCAAGGTCATGACACAGCTTCCACCAGCTCTCTCTGGAAGCACTGATCACCATGTGTACAGCCTGCTGCACGAGGCCCTGGCTGGCATGGCTGCGATTTCAGCAGGAACAACATTTCCACTTGGGTTTCATGTTTATCTGGGGGAGCCCGAAGCCTGGGGATACAACACACATGAAGAGGGGCTACTTTGTTCTCATCTCCATGGTATTATTTACCACATTCCCAGAACTGCTACTGATAAAGTGTGGTCTCCACCAGCGGTACAGAATAGAAGACACAGAGATAAACCCACAAATTTGTAGACATCTGATCCTTGACAAAGGCACCAAACCATACGCTGGAGAAAAGACAGAACTTTTAACAAATGGTGCTGGAGTAACCCATATGTTACCCATATGTAGAAAATGAAACTAGACCTTTATCTCTTAACCTGCACTCAACTCAAAATGGACCAAAGTCCTAAAATTAGACCAAAAACTATGCAACTCCTAGAAGGCAATGTAGGGTCAACACATTAGGCATAATGATTTTCTCAATAGGACCCCTAAAGCTCAGGAAATAAGGCCAAGACTTATGGAATGATATCAAATTAAAAAGCTTATGCACAGCAAAGGAAACAATTAAGAAAGTGAGAACCTACAGAATGGGAGAAATTCTTTGCTAGCTACTCTTCTAACAGAGGATTAATATCTAGAATATATAAAGGGTTGAAAAAAAGGTAACACCAAAAAATCAATTAATAAACAAGCAAATGAATCAATAAATTTTCAAAAGCAGCAGCTAAAATGACCAACAAATATATGAAACAATGTTCAACATCACTTGCAATTAGGGAAATGCAAATCAACTACACTGAGGAAGGAGAATGGGAGAAGGGAGGGAAGAGAGGAGGGAAAGAGGATCATGAACTGAAACTGAATTCCATGCAGGTATGAGTTTATCAGGATGAACCCAATGCTACGTACAACTATAAAGCTCGAAGAGAAAAGAAAACACTTCACTGAGATATCATCTCACACCAGTTAAAATGGCAGTCATCAAGAATATAAATAATAATAAATGCTAGAGAGGCCATGGAGAAAATGAACACTTTTAAACTGCTGGTGCAACTGTAAATTAGTACAACCACTATGGAGATCAGAAAGGAGTTTCCTCAAAGACTAGGCATGAAAACACCATACGACCCAGCTATGTCACTTCTCAGTATTTATCCTGAAGAATTAAACTCATCTTACTACAGTGACACATGCGTACTCATGTTCATAGCAGCACAATTCACAGTAGCCAAACTATGGAACCATCCTAGATGTCCATCAATGGGAATGGATAAAGAAAATGTGATATATAATTTTTGTATCCCTTTTTCTTTAGTTAGCCATAAACAAAAATGAAATTATGTCATTTGCAGAAAAATGGAGGGAACTAGAGAACATCATTTTACGTGAACTAACTCAGAAGGTCAAGGGTCATGTGTTTTCTCTTATATGCAGAAGCTGAAGATAAATGAAATAGGGGCAGTTTTCATGAAAATCAAAGGGAGACTCAGAGAAAAGAGACCAAAGGAGGTGAGGAGTGAGTGAGGAAGTGCCAGAAAGTGACCAAATGATATTGTCATATTGTTTGCATGTATGAATATGTAACAATAAATCTCATCAACATGTACCACTATAATGAACCAATAAAAATATGTGAAAAAAATAACATGTGGTCTGCAAATAGTGGCTTGAATATCTATGTTAGAATAAATGAGAAAACAGTAACATCACAAAACAGCTACTATTCATCATATACCTGGTCATTTAGTACCTAACACTTCTCTATGAAGCAGGTAACTTCAAGGACGGTTAGCAGTGAGGTCACTGATGTTTACAAGGCTAAGCCCTGCCACAGGTACAGGTCACAGCGCTGCAGGCAGAGCCACTCCCACAGCATGTGCCTGCTCCGTTCCTGTCTTCAAACAGAAATAACAAAACTGACTTCGTAATTATTCCCTAAGCATGTTTTCTTTATAAAATAAAATTATAAATGATTTTGATAGAAAGTGGAAAGTCACATAAAATCATAAATACAGATGTAAGTGTACACACACAGAGACACTAGGAATAAGACTCTATAGAACACTACCAAGCACACACTGAACTTTGCTCCTCCTCTCAGCAACCTGAGAGTCTACTGCCCACCCCAGACATGCAGTAGCCCCTGAGACTTGGCTCATTTGGATTTCTGAGTCTGAACTGGATGGCCAAGTGCCAGCGGGGCACCCAGGTCTCCCTGGGTCTGAGCAGGCTGCACAGAATGCACCGTGGAGTGCAGGGTCACTGCCTGTCACTCAACTTACTTCTTGGGGAGCTTCATTTTTTTCACCTTTTCTTCAGCATGTTCATCCGCTATACCCACGTGACATCCCAGTGCCAACAAAGTCCTGCAAAACAAAAGCAGACATGAGCTGCAGGTGCCTTCCCCATGTCCAGACATCACAACCTCACGGCTATGAAAGGGATAGTGACCCACACTCAAAGCACAGCACCGGTCTGTTGTCTTAAAGCTAAACAAAATTAAAAAAAAAAAAAATGAAATAGTTGTGGATGGATAGCCTGACTTTATTTTATTGATTTATTTTTTTACGTGGTGCTAAGGATGACTCCAATGCCTCATATATGCCAGGCAAGTGCTCTGCCACTGAGCTATGGTCCCAGCCCTGAACAAAAAATTTTTATTTTCAATTGTTTACTTCTGAATAAGGAGTAAGACCCTGAAAATTGAAATGGCACAAAGGAGTAACTGGAAAGTTACGTCTGCCCCATGCCTTCTGTCTAGAGCTTTTTCCTGCCCCAGAGGCACTGACTGCTGCCCTTCTTGTACATCTGCTGTACAAGAATGGGGGTCTGCGCACACTAAAGAAAAACGTGCGTCTGTGCGAATGTGTGTCCCAATAGTGGTGTTTCTGCCTTTCACTCAAATGGGCATATACAAAAGGCATTTCTCTAAGACTCACACTTTGACTTTATACTACAACCTTCAGATCACTATCCTTTCTTGTAAAGCTGATTTGTGTTTTAACCTCCCTGGAGTTGGGAACATCAGAATGTTTTTAATCCATTTTCTTTTCATTKTCTTCAAGGCAATCTTCAGTCCTCAGCTATTTTAAACAATGCTGCAATGAACAACCTCTTACGCTGAGTACACTCACCACCTCCCACTCCCTGTGCACCTACCTGCCTACCTATATTTCCACGTTTATGGAAGTCCGTTTAACCATCTTGACATGGATGGATTGATGGAGAGATTGATACAGCAATAGATGTCCAAATACACTTTCTAAATAAAGAATATGTGATTTAAAAGGGGACTAAAAACAGACAAGAAGCGGGAGTTAAAGGGTGATTAGAAGCTGTGAGTGAATGAGGAAGCCCAATAGACTCCCAGACACCTGGTCTGTTCTGGGGCACCTACAAGCAGGAGAGAGAGAAACTCAAAGACGCCTAAGATGGAGAAGGATAAAAAAAAAATCAAAGTTTGGGAAATATGTATAATGTGCAAGCAAGCAGTCATCCGGAGGAAATGTGGGGGGAACACCCTGTAAGGACTCCCAACATGACTACTTTTGAGCCCCTGCTGTGGACACCAGGTACTAATGATGTGTCAATGTGGGTTCATCAGTGTAACAAAGGCACCTGGTGGGGCATGTGGATGATGGTGATAAGCATGGCATGGGGGAAACCCTGCCTTCCTCTACACTTCTGCTGGGAACCTAAAGCTGCTCTAAAAAATTATCATAAAAATAACCATGGCATCTGCCTCCATGAAGCTTAGAGTCTCACAAGAAAAGCAGATATTAAACAACCCTGGAAGTGAGGTTATGAATTATAATGAGAGCTATAAAAATTCTGAAAGATGTTGTAAGAGAGGGCAGGAAGTGATGGGAAAATCTCTACCAAGGAGGTGACATTAGTGTAAGCAGGGAAGAAGCCATGTGAGCCTTAGGTAGAGAACTTTCCAGGGAAAGGAAAGGGAACAGACAAGGCAGAAAAACACTAAGCTCACTGGAAGGAAGAGGTCGTGGGGGCTGGAACACAGGAACAAGGGAGGGTAAGGCACAGACACAGCAGGCCCGTAGCTCCTGTGAGGATATGGGGTTCAAGAGCACCAAGAAGTCACTGAAGGGCTTTAAGCATCCCGTGGGTGGGATGTGCATGTGTGCAAACATGGGATTTCATGTGCGGTGTGGAGACAGGGTGGGAAACCAGCTGGGAGACTGTGAGTAGTCTGGGTGACAGTGATGGCGTGCACAGCAGCAGTGGGGGCGGGGGACAGACTGGAGCTGCACTTGGAGGGACTAATGATGGGCTGGACACAGGTTAAGACAAAAGGAGGTGTCCAGGATGACGCCAGGTAAGTGGCCGGGAGCACAGTTGACAAAGAGGTGACTGTGCTTCACGATGCACTGAGGAGCATGTCACCTGTGGGCTGGGTATACACCTCCCCCCCTTAAAGCAGGTGTCTGTGTTAAGGATCAACAGTGGGGCACTGTGAGCACCTGTGTGGTATTAAATCATGGGTGTGATGAGAACATCTGCAGAGAGTGTGTTCCAGGAGAATAAAGGGCCCAGGGTTGAACATAAAGATGGAAACATGCATGACTGGGAAGATTGCTGCCAGCAATGACCAACCACAAAAACAACTCACAGAAGAGGGAGAAGAGGGGGGACCACCTGCTCCTTTAGAAAACAGTGATGGCTTGCCYTTACCTACCATCTCCCCCGGTGTCGCTCTTCTCCACTGTCCTGTGTCCCTCATTCCACCCTCTCCCGCCCCCATATATGTACCAGTGCCCTAGGAATGATGCTCAAGAAAAAATACGTAGCCAGGAAAAACATCTCTGACATCTAAACATTCTACAAAAGTATTTTGTTTTTGGTTAAACACCATTATAATATGAATTTCCAAACCCTGACTTGTTGATTCAGAATTTAAGACCTGAAATTTGTACAATATTGTATCAAATGAACATTAAACCAGAAGCTAGAACCCCCCAGTCCACTCAGGGACACCTGGCTGCACACTCCAGTGTCCTGTGCTGTTCACAAGTCTCCATGGTGCTACACCATATACAGGTGATAGTTCAGGTCTAGAGTAAGTCATCTGCCAATGATTTACATGGTCACAGAGAGAGCACCTCATTATATTCACAGTAAATCACCCACTCCATCCAAAATGAGCAACATGCTGGAATAATTTTCTGCATCTTCACTAATGCAATGTGTCAGGATTCAATGAACAAATATATACACCCTCCATGATATACTGTAAAGCCAGCAATAGAAATCCTGGATGGTGCTTGCTCTGCCAGAGTCACTCCAAGATTGCCTTGGTGGAGCAAGTCCTTGGGCCCTGGCCCCCCAAGGCCAGATGCTATTCTCTCAGGAACTTTGCTGGGGCCCTTGCCAAATAAGTAAATGAACAATAGAGATGCAGAAAGCACCCTACTTCTTCTGCACAGTGGAAATGGACACAGTGTGAATTTGGGAAGAAGAGCTTTACCCCTTCAACTTAAGTTTTAACGAAAATAGGTAAAATCATTTCATCAGAAACCATATAAACAAACACTGCAGTAGCTATAAGAAACATTAGCAAAGAAATGTTAAGAATGAGCTCATGAAAAAGGTCGTTAGCATTCACCATAGGGAGTGACACCACAGTTCTTGCATCTAATGATTCATCAAACCATCGCCAGTAACTGTCAGGAGCAGGCGGGGCTCAGCATTTACATGCAAATATGACTTCTACACTCCAGGATTTACTCTTTGGGATAGATGTCCTATCTGTCAATCACTACAATTACAGGGATGTAGTTCAGATTTAACTAAATTATGTTGTAAAAGATGGGGAAATCATGAGCTGCCATGAATTACTAAGCTAAATATACAAACCTCAGGCTATGACCCAAGGAAAGGCAGGACACACTAAGTACAAAATCCCAGGGTTCAGACACAATGCACTGCTCAGACAGGCAAGCCCTCTTGTGCCATCTTCAGCAAAGTCTTAAGTTACTTGATTGGTGTGTATTCCTCCTCCTTTTAAGTTACTAAAAGGAGACATGCCTGAAATCCCAGCTACCCGGAGGCTGAGAAAGGATGATCACAAGTTCGAGACCAGCTTTAAACAGACCTCATTTCAAAATTAAAAAAAAAAAAAGTTAGAAGGGCTGAGGATGTAGCTCAGTAGAAGAGTGCCTTTGGGTCCAATTCCCAGTGCTCAAAACTAACAAAACAGCAAAAAAGCTGGGAATAAAACAGAGACTTACTTTGTTTAAATAAAAACAGAGACTTACTTTGTTTTAATAAAGCAGAGACTTAATTTGTTTATTTCCCAAATCCTAGAATCTGAAACATTATTTAAGTTTTATGTTCTGGTCCTTGGTAAAAAGGCTTCAATGGAAATAACTCCTTACTCTTTGAAAACAGAAACAAATCAAAAGGACAAACAAAAATATACTAGGTAAGTGACCTATGTGCATAAAACCAATTCTACAGGACATAAAGGATGAAAGAGCCTAAAGAAAAGTCACAGGCTTTTCAAAAACATTTTCTTAACTTTTTACCTAAATTTGAAAGTACATTCCTTCTTTATTCTACTCAGTCCCACTTACCTCTGCAAAGGAAGGTGGCAAATTCAAGAGCTCAGTGGGCACAAAGCCAGTGAAGAGCAAAGTTGCCTTTATGAGATGATATAAAATCACTCACAAGAGCTTTTACCCAACAGTGCTGTCCAGATAGGAAGTCCCTCTAGAACTTCCCCAAAAAGGGTGTTGTGGCTAAGTACACCTAGAAACACCAGAGGCGGACTCCACCATATTAGCTATTGACAGTACACAGGTGTGGAAAGTCCTGAAGCAACAGAGTGACTGGCAATAGAGTGATTTATGAAGTGGAGATAACTTACAAGGGATGAAATCAGTAAAAATTCTTTAACAGTTTTAATCCAGCACCCTTTAAATAGGTCAGTTCAGTACTTCTAAAACCATCTATGACAAAGGACTAGTTTTCTTTTAATTTCCAGTTCATCATGGTCTCAATCTCTAATAAGATAAAATAAAACTTTTCGAGTAGAATTAACATTTCAAAATGACAACATTTCAAGTTATCAGCTTAACAGGTATTAAATTTTTCCCTTAAATAGGGATAAAATTCCTAAGCATTTAGAAGTAATATCTTTACTCGTCTTGGCACAGATCAGTAATAAGTTTAGACTGGCCTGGTTCCTGGCCCATACTCTGAGTTGCACCGCACAGGATCACGAAATCCCCATACTCTATAATATCCATTGACACCTGTAGTATGCCTTTTGGGAAATGCTCAAGTGGAGCAAAAAGACACAACATATTCCCAACAAATATCCATCCAAACCACCTATACATTCTGGAAAGTTCTAGCTAGAATTCAACTAATTTCATAGTGAGAGTAAAAGCTCTCTTCTCTGGCTTCTTTTAGGTGACAGGGATTGGAAAATGAAAAAGCTGAGTAACTCACTTGAGGGTCTCGAGCGACATCTGTAAGTTGTAATTGCGCTCCTGTTCAGGCAGCTTGGAGAACTCCACCAGACACGGGTGCTGTCTCTTATTGTCATCTCTAACCTGGAACACAACAGGAAATGGGCATGGAGTACTCTCAGATATCAGACACAAGCAATGGTGCTTCAGTGGGTGGCAGTGGAGACCCAGCACAATAAGCAGCACTCAGAGCACTGCCCAGGGATGCTGCCCTGGGATCCCTAGCCCAGGTCAGGTCAAGGGTCAGCAGTAGGGTGGCATCCTCTGTACTCCCTGCTCCCTGGCCCTGTCCATGCCTCAGTTCCCATGGGCCTCTGCCATGCATGCTTCTCTCCTGATGTCCACACCAGGATCGCTCCACTCCTTCCAGCATTTGCTCAAATTTCACTTTCTCCATGAGGTTCACCAGCTTTCCTAACAGGGCAGTGTGCCACCCATCTTACTCTTTTTATTTGTCCAAAATACTTAACAGACTAGATCCTTCTCTATTTATTTATTTTCTGTCTCCCTGAACTTGGAAGAAGAAAGGAGCAAGGATTTGGTTCTTTTGTTCTTTGATATTTTCCAAACACCTAGAATGTGCCTGATGCATGGCAGACACTCAATAAGTTTAATAAATTAAAACAAATCCTGTGTAAAAACATGTGGTATGGACTTAGTTAAAATTTGCAGTATTTTTTCTGCTTAGCACAAACCTGGTTACAGACATCAATAAACAACATGATTGACTAATACTGAACTTATTGAATCGTCCCGGTTGTTCATTTCATCCCTTGTAAGTTATCTCCACTCTCACAAATMGCTCTATTGTCTCAACAAAACTGATTAGCTTAACATAGGCATTTTTTATAGTAACCCTTGGTATACACAGCTGTCCCTAAGAATATACAGGGAGTGGAGTCCAGACCTCTTCATGGATACCTAAATCCATAGATGCTCTAGCTCCTTCTTTAAAATGGCAGTGTTTGTCTAAAACCTTAGAGCACCAACCTGGATATATTAAATTGTCTCTAAATTACTTACATTATCTGATGAAAAGTAGATAATAATAGTCATTACACTGTATTGTTTAGAAAAAAAGACAAGAAATAGGAGTCCACATATGTCCAATGCAGATGAAATCTCTTTTTCTTGAATATTTTTGATCTACAGTTAGTTGAATCCGTAAATGTGGAAACCAAAGATAACAGAGAACCAACTTGGACATTGTATTAGCAATGACATTAAACCAAATTTAAGATTTCAGGAATGAGGAAGATGTTCCCTATTCTTGCATTGGTAATTAGGTTTTCTTCTTAGAGACCTAATTACAGCACTTGTGCCTCAGTGGCACTAGATGACAGCCATATGCTATTAGGGAACACATTCCTCCATGGGAATAATTACCAGGTTCTCCAAATGCCACAGGAAAAGTATGCAAACAGAAAGGAGGACTTTCTTTGTCTTCATGAATCACCCGGTTAGAAATAACCTCTTCATTGTTTTCTTGCATCATAACAAACGAATCGGACTTGTACATGAAACTAAGTTCTAAAATTTAGCTTGAGAAATATCTAACACTAAATTCTAAACATTAAATAAAAAGTGAACATGTGTCAGTCCCAAGGTAAACCTGCATGGAACTCTACTTTCACCTCTGCCTCAGAGAAGAGCCAATGCCACTGTCCTCTCAGGTGCCTGGAACAAAACAGAACCTGCTCTTTCATGTGGCATTCTTGAACCCTGAATCTCCTGCAATCATGCCCTTTGTCCCCAGGCCAGGCAGAGTGGGGACACTCATTGCCCATCCCCTAGGGCTATGGTTCTTCCATGGGACAACACAGTCCCAGTGCAGGGACCTGAGAACATCACCGCCCTTTCTCAGCATTCTTTAAGCTCTCAGCCCCTCACAGAGTAAAAGCACACTGCCCCTGCCTGAGTGGCCAGACTTCCCAGGGTTCTGTACACAGCACTGTCTGTGAGCTGTGCTACCCAACAGCCAGTGCAGATGCCCGGTCCCTTCCCCTCCTCACTTTACACACTGGCTCCTCTGCCCAGAATCTGGTCCTGCTCTGACTGTTCCTAGCCGATACCGGCCTCAGGGCTGACATCTATCTCCTGGAAGCCCCCAGATTTCTCAGAAGAGACCTGTGTGTTCCTTTTCTCTCTGTGACTATTTGCATGAATTCACTGAGCTGAACAGGATGCTCCTAAAAGGTAAACACAGTATCTTAGAGCCAAGGTCTTTCCAAATTTGGGTGCCCACTACCAAGCACAACCAGGCTAGTGGAAGGCAAGCAATAAATGTTAAAGGGACATATAAATGATAGAATGGATCTACCTGGTGTTGTTCYATAAAACAGAGCCCTCACATGATGCTCCTGGGAAATGTAACCCAGATCAACTATAAAATCTATGCAGAAAAGTACCAACTCAGCATACCAGGCAGCTAAGCATAAATTCCTAAACACACACAAACTTATTTACAATGTTAACAAACTTGTGACTTAGCCTATACACTGGCCAATACCTTACTCTAGAATAAAGAGTGATCTTAAGGTTTGGATCTCTAACTATTCAACTGAAAGGAGTTTCAGGGAAGATCTTATAAACAAGCTGGACACAAGTCATGTGTTCAAAGAGAGGAGATGCAAAATCTCCTCATCTGTCACTTTAAGACTTCCCCAAACAGATGACATGGAACCCAGAACAGGACTTGCCCAGAAGGGTCCTGAGAAACTGCAGTAAGTATTTTTGGAGCACAACTCAGGAAAGGGGCAGATGGCAGCAGGACTGCAGAGACCCAGTATCTTCCCTAGAGCCACATGAGGTTCAAGTTGATTCAGAGCACCCTGGACCAAGCAAGGGTAACTTCAAGCAGTGGGGTGTGTGTGTGTATACGCCACTGTTCTACCTGAGACTCTGAAAACTCAGAGTTGTGCATACAGCAGGAATAGTCTGTATAATATTGAATGGAACTGAATAGAAAAGAGAATCATGAAATTCATATGGAATAATAAAAGACCCAGAATAGCAAAAACAATGCTAAGCAGGAAGTGTGAATCAGGCGGTATAGCGATACCAGACTTCAAACTATACTACAGAGCAATAGTAACAAAAACAGCTTGGTACTGGTACCAAAACAGGCRAGTGGACCAATGGTACAGAATAGAGGACACAGTAACCAATCCACAAAACTACAACTATCTTATATTTGATAAAGGGGCTAAAAGCATGCAATGGAGGAAGGATAGCATCTTCAACAAATGGTGCTGGGAAAACTGGAAATCCATTTGCATCAAAATGAATCTGAATCCCTATCTCTCGCCATGCACAAAAGTTAACTCAAAATGGATCAAGGAGCTTGATATTAAATCAGAGACATGGCATCTGATAGAAGAAAAAGTTGGTTATGATCTACATACTGTGGGATCAGGCTCCAAATTCCTCAATAGGACACCCATAGCGCAAGAGTTAACAACTAGAATCAACAAATGGGACTTACTCAAACTAAAAAGTTTTTTCTCAGCAAAAGAAACAATAAGAGAGATAAACAGGGAGCCTACATCCTGGGAACAAATCTTTACTCCACACACTTCAGATAGAGCTCTAATAACCAGAATATACAAAGAACTCAAAAAATTAGACAATAAGATAACAAATAACCCAATCAATAAATGGGCAAAGGACCTGAACAGACACTTCTCAGAGGAGGACATACAATCAATCAATAAGTACATGAAAAAATGCTCACCATCACTAGCAGTCAGAGAAATGCAAATCAAAACTACCCTAAGATACCATCTCACTCCAGTAAGATTGGCAGCCATTAGGAAGTCAGACAACAATAAGTGCTGGAGAGGATGCGGGGAAAAGGGCACTCTTGTTCATTGCTGGTGGGACTGCAAACTGGTGCAGCCAATTTGGAAAGCAGTATGGAGATTTCTTGGAAAACTGGGAATGGAACCACCATTTGACCCAGCTATTCCCCTTCTAGGTCTATTCCCAAAAGACCTAAAAAGAGCAATGCTACAGGGACACTGCTACATCGATGTTCATAGCAGCACAATTCACGATAGCAAGATTGTGGAATCAGCCTAGATGCCCTTCAATAGATGAGTGGATAAAAAAAATGTGGCATTTATACACAATGGAGTATTATTCTGCATTAAAAAATGACAAAATCATAGAATTTGGAGGGAAATGGATGGCATTAGAGCAGATTATGCTAAGTGAAGCCAGTCAATCTTTAAAAAACAAATACCAAATGACTCCTTTGATATAAGGGGAGTAAACAAGGACAGGGTAGGGACAAAGAGCTTGAGAAGAAGATGTACATTAAACAGGGATGAGAGGTGGGAGGGAAAGGGAGTGAGAAGGGAAATCGCATGGAAATGGAAGGCGATCCTCAGGGTTATACAAAATGACATATAAGAGGAAAGGAGGGGTAAGACAAGATAATACAAATGGAAGAAATGATTTACAGTAGAAGGGGTAGAGAGAGAAAAGGGGAGGGGAGGGGAGGGGAGGGGGGATAGTAGAGAATAGGACAGACAGCAGAATACATCAGACACGAGAAAGGCAATATGTCAATCAATGGAAGGGTAACTGATGTGATACAGCAATCTGTATACGGGGTAAAATTGGGAGTTCATAACCCACCTGAATCAAACTGTGAAATATGATGTATTAAGAACTATGTAATGTTTTGAACGACCAACAATAAATAATAAATAAATAAATAGAAATATATATTTTTTTAGTTGTTGGTGGACACAAGACCTTTTATTTATTTTTATGTGGTGCTGAGGATCGAACCCAGGGTCTCACACGTGCTAGGCAAGCACTCTACCACTGAGCCACAACCCCAGCCTTTTCCATTTTTAAAGAGGACACATAACACTTTACTGCAAAGCATAACTATTGAGGTGATTTATGAGCTTGTGGTGAACAGCGTCTTCACTAAGCTCAGCCCCAGAAGATAGCTGCTCTTACCCCAGAGGCACGCAAGTTGTTCTTTTATTTTTTTGCATGAGCTCTTTTCAATTTTCCTAGCCTATAATCATCTTTGCTTCATCTTAAAACTTTTGGTGAATTGTATCTAATTCCTCTGGCATCCAACTATGTACACATTTATAATCTCTCTCTCCTACTAATTTTAACTGGGGACTCATATTCATTTTATTTTTTTTTTACATTTATCCACTTCTCAATTTTTAAGAATCAAGGCATGCAATACCCAATTAGATACTGAATGAGTATTTGCTGATATAACAAATATCTAACCACTGTCTAGTTAATGCAAGGACTTCATCTCTGGACATGCTTCGGCAAGTTTTGTAGTGAAAGCCAGCTCTCCACTGGAAGTTAGAAAACCTGGGTTCCAGTGCTGGATCTGCTACTCACTAGCTATAGGACTTCTTCAAAGGCATTTAACAACCCTGCAAAGAGCCTCAGCTATGTCATGAGATAAACAAATAACAACACGTAACCCATCGCACTCTAATGACAACTCAACTGGATATTCTGTGAGAATGCAAAGCCATCTGCAGAGGAACACTACTGAGTGGTGTTGAGTACCTGGTGGTACAACTTACACTAGCTTCATTCAGAGCTTGAAGCAATAAACTATTACTTGGAGGAATAATTTCTGTATTTGTAAGTTCTTTGTTACTATAATAAAGCACTACAACCTTTGAGATATTTAGAATAACAATATTATAAAACAAAAGTAGTAACAAGGTCCTACTAAAAAAAGGTCTTTCAATTTATTGAAAAACTCTAAGATATTTAGAAATTAAGCATTTAGAAACATTTAATCATTACTTCTTGACCTATCCTCCTACTGTGAAACCAACTGTGAAGTTCTACTCACAAATCTCAGTCTACTATGTACAGCTTGAACTAAGAGGAGAGGAAGATCAGACAGAGGAAAGAAAATGGACTTACTTCTTTTTACTTTAGGTTTGAGGTATTTTTTAAGTGGCTTAGAAATGCCTGTTGTCTATTAATCTGGATTTGAAAATATAACTTGCAGTTCAAAGATAACTTTCAATGACTTAGGCAACTAAACCATCCTTCAAGGAGCCTGCAAATAATGTCAGTTCCTTTAGAAAATAAAAATAAAACCTGCACAGAGCTAACATGCAGAAAAAACAAAATCAATCCAATTGATTCATGTCACCCTATAGCAGGACAAGGGAAAAAAGGATTTGTATTCAGAAAGATGTATCAACAGAATCTGAAAATAAATTTCAAAATTATATACCGGACCATACTGCCAGCCAAGTTCGATTTTATTCATAACCCACAACTCATGGATATTCTCTGCCAGTTTTTCTCTTATCCTTTCCAGGTGAGGAGGCAACACAATCTAAAATTTAAAAAAAAAAAGAAAAAACACACATGAGAAACACACGTAGCACGGTGCTGGGTCATAACAATGCCTCATGAGCCATTAAGATACAACATGATAACTCATCCTAAATCACCTATTCCACAGCCCTCTTTCGGCAAACTTGGGGACCCTTTTTTAAATTTATTTTTTAGTGAATACTTAGGTTTTAGGGAGAAGAGTCAACAAAGTAAATGGAGTATTGATGGGAACAACTAACGGTCATGGGACAACTACCAAGAGGTGCATTATTTAAAAAGATAAATCACTCCAATGCTCTTACACCCACCTGGCTGGCGTCCACAGGACAGGGGGACAGGAAGCCAGTACCTGAGTTATATTCCATGGGCTCTTTGCGCCTATAGATGTCTGACTGCAGTAATTGTGTTTCCCCTGAACCAGTACTCTGTTCTTTTAGTGGTTTCCAAACAAAATTTTCAAGGGGGAAAAAAAAAAAACCACATTTACCTGTTCTCATTAAAAGGAAGAAGTTTAACGACCTCTTGACAAGTAGCACAAAATGTTTTCAGGGTGGGGAGCTGGTTTTTTTCATCTTGATAAAGCAAGCCCTCCTGTGTGGCCCCATACCAGTTCCTCAGCAGGGCAAATGCCTGCAAGGCCCATTCAGGAGGCACCATTTCCACAGGGAGCAGCTACCTCTGTGCCCTCTCCCTGCACTGGCTGCAGTTATCAAGATCTTAGGTGACCTCTACACAACAGCAGTGCACAACCCCACTGCCCATTTTCATCTTCCCAAGATTTCTGGTTTCCTGATAAACCTAGATAACACTAAACATATCCTGCCACATTTCTACAAGGGACAACACAAACTGAAACCAGACATGAACAATGCTTGAACACTTACTTTACCTATATAATATAAAAAATCTGCAGGGTGAAACCAGAAATGCGACTCAGGGAGCCAAACAAGTGGTTGATAAAGAAATAAAATTTATGAGGCCTTGTTATTAATTCAGCATCGATGTCTTCAAAAGCTAATCAACTTGATTATGGAGCCAACCTCACTGAGGTCATTGGGGCCATGTTTAATTCACTGTCAACCTCAGAACCCGATATGTCTACCAGAGAGGAAGGCATGAATGGTGGCTGATATCCCTGGGTGTCCACCTGTGAGGAGGTGTTATCGGCTAACTGTGTCAAATGGCCTCAGAATCCCAATCAGCAAGGCCTCTACCTTCCCCAGTCACAGAGAAGACAACTGATCCCAGGCATCTTAACCCCAGTGCCCAAAATCTCAATCTTTCCCCAAGGTAAGGTCAGCTAATCATTTCAACATAACAAAGAGCATCTGGAGAAAAGAAATAAAAATCTCCAACTCTGTTCTATGTACAAAAGTGCACTCCAACTCAGTATGTATCACACCAATGTGGTGCTACTTCAAGTGCAGTTTGCTCCCCAATATCAAGTCATCCTGACACTGTTGCACCTTGAAGTCACTTGCATAATTGTGTGCCTAAGCTTCACCTGCTGCTTTCACTGCCTGTTTTTTAAAGTATAATATGCATGTCATAAACTATATTATATTGACTACTTTAACAAAACCTTAAAGACAATCTTGAACAATGCTTTTAAAACTTGAGGTAGGGACACATTTGTGCTCTATGAAAAAAATTTGGCAGTGGGATGACTCTGTTTTTCAGAAAAGAAATAGAACACAAGATGGGTGGGGTGGTGGGAAAGGGGACTATTATTTTATGGGATGTGCTGCAAGCAGACACATCGGTTGCACTGCTGAAAATGCATCCCTGAGGGCAGCAGTGCAAGCTGCAGCCCCACTATGTGTCCACATAATGAGAGCACAAGCGCTGTCCGCAGGGCTGATCTCCATACCTGGGTGGTGTCCACGGGGATTGGTGTGAAGGCGGCTTGTGTCAGGGACACCGTGGGGCCCAGCAGGTCTCGCGTGTATGTCCTCTCCTGCTTGTACTCCCTGCTGTGCTCCACTTTCAGCTTTTCCTTGGGCAGAACAGCTTCGTAACAAGGAGCATACCCAGGTGGAGGAAGGAATTTGAATTCTCCATGTCGCCCCCCAAGCAAAAAGCGAACCCTAAAAAGGACGTATACAGAGTCAACTACATTCTTAGTGAATGTAAAGGTTTTCTAATCAGCAAAATTCATAGGAAAAAATATTAGTGCAAATTAACTTTATCAGAAGCTGCATTATTTCCTAAGTACCATCATAATGGCATCACTTTAGAATCCAAAACCCTCTAACAATAAAAGGCGAAACATGAGGGCATCACACTGATCCAAAGACAAAACCTTGTTAACGTGCATCTGTGGGCCAGTGGAGACCTGGTGGTCACGAGAGAAATAACTAAAAGCACATACATACTTCTACATCAGTGAAGTGCAAGTCCACAGTAACTGGCCACTCAATGCCCCAAGGAATAAAAAGAAGAAAAGAAGATAAGATCTAAGTATCTACAGGCTTAACAATACTGGGCTGGACTAGAAGTGAGGCAATAACCACTTCCCAGCACCTAATTTACTAATGAAATTCCTTTAAGTGGAGTCAGGTTATCAACTACATTTGCTGAAGAAAGCACATAAACTTTATTTCTTATTGTTTTCCAATTTCAACAGCAATAACTAAACTTTCTAAAATATTTAGACATCATTTTCATTTAATTAAAAATAATCTGAGTTCTACTCGACAATGCTTTTTGAAGCCAATCAATGTATCAATTTCTTGGGGCTCTTGGCTTACAAAAATAAGAGCAAATTTTTAATTTCCCTTGAAATTTTTTTCTTTTTCTTTTTTTAAAGAGAGAGAGAATTTTATTTTTTAGTTTTCAGTGGACACAACATCTTTATTTTTTATGTGTTGCTAAGGATCGAACCSAGCGCCCCACGCATGCCAATACCACTAGAGCCACATCCCCAGTCCCCCTTGTAATTTCTTTTCTAACTTTTGTTTCAGTTCCAGGTCAAAAAACATTAAGAAAAAGAAGAGCAAAAAGTGAGGAAAAACAAAAACTTGAAGTTTATAGGAACAAACACGATTTGAATAAATATACCAGAAAATGTCATTGATACAGCTTTTCCTTGGGCAGAACAGCTTTATAACAAGGAGCATACCCAAGTGAAGGAAGGAATTTGAATTCTCCATGTCGCCCCCCCCAAGCAAAAAGCAAAAAGAACATTATTCTGTTCTTATTCAAGATGGTGTTTTTTAAACTAGAAATTATTCCTGGGAGGAGCAATATAAGTAAAAGAATAATCAAAATGTACAATGGTCAGCAAGAACAAGGGAGACCCATGTAGATCCAAGTGGACGACAGGGTGGCCCCTGGTTAGATCACTCAAGATCATGATGATCATGATCATCTAATTCAAGATAATGCTGATCATCATGCACTCAAGTTCTCTCTGTAAAACTCCAGGGAACTACTATTTTAGTTTGTTTCTCTCTGGTAATAGCAAAAACGAGAAAACAGCTGGAGGAAACCATCTTGATRCAGTTGATCACAGGCAGAGAATTTACCAGTGAAACAGGTGGAAGAGCCACGTGATCTCAACAGAAAGGGCAATGAATTTCTCCAAAATGAACGGGTTTGTGGTAGGATGGGGGACCAGGTAGGAAAAAAGGAAACAGTGAAAATGAATATAAAAAAGTGGTGTTTTTAGTGGTATTATAAACTTCCCCTTATTTAATAGTACAATGATCCTAAGAAATACATTTCAGGGCGCTGGCTGGAGGGAACATTGCTATCCAGGGCTAAATGGGCGAATAGGTGAGCAAAGCACCCAGCTTCCCGAGAGTTCCTCTTGGGCAAACCTTACCTCTGCCTTGAAGGAACAGGCCAAATGCCCTACAGACAGACACCAGGAGGAAGGAATAAAGGTTAGAGAAGCAGGGTGGCAGCAGGACAGATCCTTCTGCGGAAGGGTGAAAAGTGAGAAGGGAAACAGACCCAAAAAACAGAGGCATACTAACTTTATTCCTGCAGAGAAACTAACAACTGGAAAGAAGAGGCCATCAATGTTGAAATTCTCAAACATTCCTTGAACAGGCTGTCCGTTAATTCGGAATGAGATGCTGGGGGCACTTAGATCTAAACAGCAACTGATGACATCATCAGTTCTCAGCAGGTGCTGGTTTGGTGAGCTTACAGTGCGGGCAATACAACCTAGTAGGGAGAAACATWAAAGAAGGTAACGCATTTCATCTCAGAGCATCTAGGCAGTGACAAAGCAACACACAGTGCTAGAATGGACTCACTCTAATGTGACATGCCAAACTCTTGGAAACAAACAAAATGTTTTGTTTTTTCAGGATCCAGGCTGCCTCGTTAGACAATGGACCACCCAACATACAGAAATGTCTGCATGTAGCAGGAAGAGCTTTGCTGCAGAAATTACCTTAGAGCAAATGCCATAAAGATGTTAGTGGACATTTTCCAGGAAAAGATCCGACTTGGAATAGCTGCCTTGTCACATAGCTGGTGCAGCCTTCAGCAAATTATGTCACTACCCTGAGCCTCGAATTCTAATATGCAGAATTTCAAATGCCATTATCTTCTAGAAGTGCCATGACAATTAGATCAATGGTTTAAAGGATCAGTCTTGGTCACACCAGATACTTGGCATCAGGTTCTTTTTCAAATACTATATTCCTTTTTTTTATAAATTCAGAATTAATTAAGGATAGTAAAAGAAGAAAATGTGATCATTATTTCTTGCAGTGTATTGTACAGAGTGAGAAGATTGTATGCCATTTGGTTTATTTTACAACTTATTTCACATGAGATCTTGGTTGGCATCCTTAGTGCAGGGTGCAATTGGAGACAGGAAAATACTATTTGATAAATGTCCCTTTTCACCTGGCCAACCAACACACCAAGGCTCTTCTGAATATATCAGAACTCCTTTGTAATTAGTCCCAAGAGSAACTATTTTCTCATGGCATCCTTAAAGAAGGGAGGTAGGGGTCTCCCAAATCCACACACTAACTAATACAAACATAGCCCTCTATTTGAGTAAAAACTGAAACAGATTCATTTTGCAGGCTTTGGGTTTTTAATGACACTTGTTTTTATCTCTGGCATGCCAACATTTTTACCAAGAACACTTTTCAATGCCACTGATAGTATCTACTTTTTAAAATATGGCCACGTTTTATTTCACCAATATTCATATCTTCAAGCAACAAAATCACTATAAAGTGGCTCAGAATTCCCTGAATATAATAAAGGTAACTTTGAAAATTTATGTAGTAGCAATGCAGCTCATGGAAAAAAAGCATATTTCTGTGTCAGTATCAAAGCTACAGTTAATAAAAATGTTATTTTAGCTATTCTTACAGTCAAAACAGGTTGTACTATAATCCAAATATACTGCTCAGTTTAAGGGACATCATTATACACTAATGCTAATAGCTTACAGTCACCCTGGTAAACAGTTCTGCAATGTCTGAGATCGATAGAAGGACCCCAATGAGCCACCTGAATTTACAGTTTCAACAGCACTCAGGGTTGAGCCACTTGGCAGCATCTCCAGTTTCATCTAAGTTAACTCATCCTGGATTCATGAGAACCAATACGCCTGTTCCGTGTATTAGTCAGAAAGGAAGGGGACAGCATTGGTGGAAACCCAACATGCTCCATTCTTCTTCTACGCTGAAATTCCTTAAGAGCACAAAGATTTCACACACCTGTACAATCTAAAACATCTGGGATTCCTCAAGAGCAACACTGCACAACATTTAAAATTAGAATAAATGGAGACACAGCTCAAAACTGTTGCTTTTGGGCCAAATCCTGGTGCCAAGGAACATCTCCACTCCCCAGTTACAAAATGTTCACTAACAGAATGTGTTGCCTTCTCAAAGTCACTAACATTGAAAATTTAGATTCTATAACAGTGACTGAAAATACAGAAACAGGAGCATAAACCCTAAGAAAGTGATCTGAACTACTATGAATCAGGCCTGCGTAACTCAAGATTCCAGACGTGCCTCTGTGGATTCTGAATCATAAGCTAGCAAAGCATGGGAGAGAATGAGTCCTTCAACAACAGGCAAAATGTAGTTTCTTGCCTTTTTTTTTTAATGGACCAATATTTTCTATTCATAAAAAAGTTTTAAATACTTTTCTCCCAGAATTCCAGAACTCCCCCATCCTTCCTGTACATGCTCAGTATCTGAAATGGATTTAGATCTTATTCTTCTATTCAATGATACTCTGTAATAAAAGGCACAATGCGCCCAACTCAGTTCCCTAAGCACTAGATTCTTTCAACATCTTGAAGGGAAAGGCTTTGAACCGAAAGCAAAACCAAAAACAGTACAGTGTGCCATGCATGAGGCTAAAGTAACTGGAAACAACTTGGCCTTGTCTCATCAGAGTAGTTACTACCCCTTATCTCTGCCTAATGAGAAAACAGCATTCACCTGCCCAAGTGCCTATTTCCTGCAGAGTGATACTGAGCTAGAGAGATGATAAGACTCGAAAGCTGTAGTTGTAATGTATTTAAAAGATAGACATTATCACTATTTTAGCTTGGACASGCCTTTGAAGTTAGCACTCTTTGCTTTTGAGTGGTCTACAGGAAACTTTACCATGGGAACAAGGAACTGTAGCTGTCATCCAGCACAATGAACCTGGGTGCAGGCAATGCATGCCCCCCGACCATAAGCCTAGATAAACTATCCAGAACGCATCTCTTCTGAGACACTGGCATTGAATAAAGAAGAAAGTCAGTAGCTTTTCGTGTCTGATATATACAACTAAATAGTCTTTTTACTTTACAAACTCATTATCATGAATGCAGATTTAGTTGACTTTAATTTTTAAATTTCTTTTCTTAAGCTGTTAGATCTATACAGCATTATAAGTGAATAATACTAGTATTCACAAGGCAAAGTTCAGTTTTTTTATAACTGAACTTTATTTTCTACACACTAAATACTTTGAAAAATATGCCAGGGTCATAGCAGGACTATGTTCTAAATGCAGCTCTACAAACATAAGCATGTGTCTGCAGAACCTAGATCAACTCCAGCATCTATAAAGCATCTACGTAATTAAGAGCCAGGCTTTTAAATCAACTAAACTATGACTCATTATGAATCAGAGAAAGGAATGTTATTTTATAACATATAGTACTCATTTTCAATATATGCTCAAGCAACAGAACTGGGAACTAGTAAAATGAATTATACATTTATCTTCAACCCTTTCTGCCCTTCTGCAGAGAAGTGTTATTTCATCATGGCCAGTCTCCTCACACAGCACCGTGCAGAGTTCTGATTCCTTCCTCTATGTTATCTTGGAGGAGGCTAAACTCATCTTCTACTTCTAATTACTTACCAGGGTTTGTGTTTTGTGCTTTATATATTGGAAGCTAACCTCTGCACATGGCAATTGAAGTTGGGAACACAAGTTTGAGCAGTTCACTCATATACTGGAATGCTATTTCTAAAATACACTGTTCGTAAGCAAAATATCCCTTTTAACAAGGTACTAAAGTTGTCATTATTTTATTTTTCTCTAGTGAAACTCTGCTTTCCACTAACTCTTATTCAATGTCTCAAATATTAAGTTTCTGAATAATATGTGTCCCTGACAGAAGTGGCCCCAATCACTTTCAGACATGCACAGCAGGGTCACAAGATGTCCATCAGGAAAGAAAAGGGAAGTGCTCACCTGACCAGAGATGAAGGCCATCAAACCCGTAGGAGAAGAGGTCATCACCAACGCCATTGCCGCCCCACTCCTCGCCCCCTCCGGGGTAAGGCGAGTACCCCTCGGTGGAAGCCCAGCCCACTCTCAGGTGAGTCGCTTCCGCTGTCACGAAGGGCTCAGTGTGGTCCACCATGAGCTCATAGTACCACTTTTTATACTGAGCAGACCCTTCACTGACGCCCAGGAAGATGTTGGGCCTCATGCTTCAAAAGAGGAAAAGAGCTTGTAAGTGGAGGCCAGGCCTCTCCCTGTGTCCTATGCCCCTCATTGTCCTGAACCTCAGTCCTGCTTTTCTAGGGAGCCATCCTAATGCATCCCCTTCAGTGCTACAGAGAGGTTAAAACAACCCAAGGCAGCACTCAGTGACAGCCAGCCTCCAGGCTCACCTTCAGGGAACAGTGCTTGCTTTTTGGCCTACTGGGCAAAGCCACTCCAGTGTCGAGGAGTTTGTCTTATTTGCTCTACATCATCTTTTGTACCATTCATCAAATGTAAGCCACAAAACGAGACACCTTGGGCAGCAGGCCTCTGGAACTGATGGGATTTTTACTGACCCAAGACATGCAGATAATTTCTAAACTGAGCTTCACATCACACGATGTGAGTCTGAAGCAGGTCCCTTCCTTTGTGAGAGAACCAAGATGACAAGTAGGGGCTGTTGCCTCTGTGAAATTGTGGCCAGTTATATTTTAATTCTTCTATCAGGAGACCTACACTCTGCAGTCACCCCATTAGTGGTGTCCTCAGAAAATACACTCGTTAGGACAGGGCTATTATATAAGGAAGCCTTAAACCAATCCTGTCCAAACAATGCAAGGCAGGACACACCACTCGCTCCACACTTTTGTTTAAAATATGATGAAGTAGCACATCTCTCTYGGAATCACTGTTTTGTTTATTTTGAGGGTCAGGAAAGGAAATGGTGACAAGGCATGGCAGATAAGAGCTGGGTCTGGAGCTAGACCTGTGTTCCACCCCCCAGCATTCCCCTCAATCTGAGGTAATGTCAATGTCTGGGAACACATATACTCACACACGCTGACAGTGTAGAGCACATGGCTTGGTAGCTGGCACTTTATACCCAACAAAYGTTAGACTCCTTTAAAAGGAGATCTGACTGAAAATGCCGTTTCATTGGCTGTTCGTGAATTTGTTGTATTTCAGACTCCTTTTTATCCTACATAGTGGGAACCTTGAAGTGGTACTGAAGGATAAGGATTGTGGTCATACTGTAAGAAGGCATAACATAACTATATACAACCACAGCCCTGTTTAGTCATTAGCCTGCTCCTGAAAGCATAAGGGACAATCCATTCACTCGTGAACATGAACAGAAGCTTGGGTTCATGATAAATCTGTATTTTGTTTGGTTCATCTATTATCATTATACCATCTGGTTGGTACAAAACAATCCTTACATCATTCACTGGGGAAATACACTAAAAATCCTAATAAAACAAAGAGAACATCTGTACCTGGCTACAGAGCTGGACCGAGAGCTTTTTCTCCATGTGACCTATTTGTGACATTGTCCATCTGAATTTACCTGCTAACRTGGTTCACAAGACGAGTCTGCAGTAAAAGATCACGTCCTGGCAGGAGATTGTCACAGATGAGATGCTGGTTAGACCGGACGGCGACCCCATGGCAAACACAGAGTGAACACAAGACATCCAGGACCTGAAAGAAAAGCCATTTTTGCTGAGTCTAGTTGGCCTCAGATCCGGGCTTGGGCAGCACCTTCCAGGAAGCTAACCCACCCTCAGTGACATCTGACTCAGCAGTTTCAACACACAGTGGGCACTCCCCAGGTTCTCCAACCTCCCTCCACAAATTAAGAGCTGTTCACACCCCACTGACACTAGAAAGAAACTCAGATCGGTGTCACCCACCCACCACTATGAGAAGCACTAGTGAAAAATTCCACACATCTTTGAAAAACTACTTAAACACATATTTTACTTTTTGTTTTTAAATTTAATTAGTACATGCAAACATTAAAATTTTACATATTTTATAGTACCTACATGTATATGTTGTGTAATGTTGAAATCGGGGCAAACATATCTATATGCCCAAAYATTTATCATTTCTTTATGGTGGAGACATTCAAATGCTTTCTTCTAAGCTTTGTAAAATATACAGAATACTGTTGCCACACTTTAAATGATTCCTGAATTCATTCACAGAAATAAAATGGCTTACTTACTTTATGATTTCTCCCATGCTTATCTAAAAGTGAGATAATAGATTTAATATGTCCTTCTTTAATAATATTTAGCGCTTCTGGACTTTCCACTAACACACAGTGTAGAACTTCAAGAATACCTAAGGATAAAGCAAAGGGGAAATGTGACTGGTCAGCCCACAGGGATGTTCCTACCTTCACAGGTGATGAACTGTGTTCATTCTTTGACAAAGAACTATTTCGTGCTTAATGTGTTTGCCACAGGGCACTTCAAGAGGTGACAGGTGRCATTTGCAAGAAGGTACTAATATCCAAAAATGATGAGATCAGAAAGAAGGAAAATGCAAAACCCTAACTCAATGTTAAGTGAGAAGGCTGGTAATTCCACTGGGGGACGCAAGAAGAAAAGGCACCGAGGGCATCTGGCTGCTCCAGGCCAAGCAAGGCAGGGTGGGAGGGGTTACAGTTTGGATATGCAGGGTCCCCAGGAAAGCTCATGTACCTGGAACAAGAAGTAAAAGGCAGCAACGTTCAAAGGTAAGTGATGGGCTGTGACTTAATCAGTGGATGGATTAATAATGTGAATGGAGGTAACTGTAGGAGGGTGGGGCATGTGGAGGAAGCATGTCACTAGGGACATGTCTTAGGGCTCTATATTTTGCTCCTGGCCCCTCGCTGGCTCTTCTTCCTGGCTGCCATGAGAATGATGCCCCTCCCCTCTCATGGCATTCCACCAAGGTGCTCTGTCCCACTCAGACCCATGGCAATCGAGTCCACCGACCATACAATGAGCCTCTGAAACCCTGAGCCAAAATAAACTCCCCTTCCTCTAGGTTGTTGTTGTCAGGTGTCTCAGTCACAGCATTAAAAATCTGAGCAACACAGAGTGCCTCAGTGAAGGCTTGAGCAAAAGCACACTGGTGTGCATCATGCAGAGAAAGAGCAGGAAGGGGACAGATCACACGGGGCCAGGTTATGGGCATCTTGGCACTGCAGATGTAATCCTGCCATAATGCAGCCTGCTCCATGCAGCTCCAGCTCTTTGATGTTTATACTATGGAATGTTTCTCAGTTTGCAAAACAAGAGAAATAWACAAATAAACACAAAGTAAATAGAAATACACAGTAACATGCCTGTGGAAAATACAGAGAATGACTTAAAGTTTGAAAAAATTTAAAAAACTCCATTGTGAGAATGGTTAGCGTGAACTTAAAAGCTTCATGAGTACATCCGTGTTCATCCTTCTGCATCAAGCTTGCCTTGTCAGTAATTGGGAATGCCTGGACACCAGGAGCCCAATGCACAGAGAACACGGTATCTCTTCYCCCTCCCCCACCAAGCACATCCATATACATCTATACGTTTATCTCAGAGTTGCACAGCATCGGAAGGGCCTCTGAAGAACCTTGCAGAAAAGTCTACACACTTCAAATACAGTTCACTGTCTTAATATACAAATTTTCAGTATTTACAAAGACAGAATACAGAAGCAGCTCTATGGATGTCACAATCTACACTAAACTCAAGTCCCAATCCATTAGAAAATGAAGGTTTTCAATACTAATTTCTTTTCTTATGACTTAATTTGTTAAAATATGAACATATATTTGGTTTAAAAAGCATCCAAAAAGATCTTGAGATAATTTGAAGGTTGTTCAAAATCAGTGGCTGTTTTCCAATAGCCCAGTGACAACGGAAAATCAAAAGGAGCCAAAAATAATAATATGAGAAGCTAAGTTAAAGACGTTTTCGAAAGTGATCCAAAACTCTTCACTACTTTTGCCATTGTTACAAATGCAGCAAGGAAACAAACCCAGTCATTCTAGCTGACCTAACATAGGGGAAGGGAAAAGCACTTTTAAAAGACAAGTCATGCAAATTCCTCATGTTTTGTCTTTTCCATTATTCATTAATACAGAACATGTGGCAGTGTACTTCTGTAAACAAGGTTTTGTTTATTTATTTGCATTTTTCCAGGCACATTCATTTACAGATTATTATGGCTACTTCCTACTGCAAGGCAGAGCTTAGTTTGACAAAGACCTTACATCCACAGAGCTTATGGCCTGTTATCTGGCTGCTGTGGGTTGATGTTTGTTTCTCCCTTAAATTGATATGTTGAAATCCCAAGTGATGGTGATAACATTAGRAAGCAGGGCCTTCTGGGAGGTGACTGGGTATTGAAGGCAGACCCTTTATGAAGAGGATTAGTGCCCTTAGGGAGGGGACCCAAAGAAGATTTTCTGTCTCTTCCACCATGAAGGATGAGCTTTCTACAAGGACAGAAGTCCCACCAGACACCAAATCTACTGTGCCTGATCCCTGACTTCCYAACATCCAGAACAGACAGTAATAGCTTTCTGTTATTTATAAACTACCCCATTCATGGCACTTTGTCTAGCAGCCCAGACAAACTAAGACTTCRGCCTTTTACTGCAAATGTGAGCCAATCTCTGCTACACATTCAACCATTAGGAKTAAAAAGACCAAGAACAACAAATTCTCTTGTTAAGAAATAGTCATGAACATCCACAGCATACATAAAACAGGATATCAGAAAAGGATGTAAGACTGGATTTCAGAAATAAACATATCAAAATCCAAGAATGGTAACGTGACAACAAAACCCTGACGTTTCTTATATGTGACAGTCTAATAGAAGGACTTCAGGATTTTGGCTTTAATATTAAAAATCCTTTTTCAATTTTGCCTGGTCAGATCCTACAAATAAACAACTTAGCTTAATTGTATACTGTGTATTTGTACAAGTTCTGACCACAAAACATCAGAGAAAACTTTTACTTTGAAATGTTGGAATAAGTTGTGAATATGCTGTTTTTCTAAAGTGAAAATCTTTTGAAGATAAACAAACTGGAAACACCAAAGGACTCATTTTCAAAACAAAGAATATACTTTTATGGGCAATTTAAATTCTGCTGCTGTGGGCCTTGAGCTCTTGGTTGAGAAATGATGCTTAATAAAGATGAGAGCGACACTCGACTGAAGATGACTTGACCACTGAAGAGCACACGTGCTGGGTAAGACCCAGAAACAGCAATGTTTCATAAGGCTTACGGTTGTATCCTCAGAGAAAAATGTAAAAGCTTGGAAGATTTTAATAGTATTACTGGAATGAAAGAATTATGAATATACTACAGATTGTGAAAAAAAATAAGAAAAAAGCAAACTTTGAAAACTAGTAAGGCAAAGTAGTTGGATTTTGCCAGTTATACTAAATAATTTTAGTGAATTTTTAATAACATAGAATGATATAATGTATAATATAAATTTTTAAGAGTAGATATACCTTATGATGCAACTGTACTTTTATAAACCACTATTTTAAAAAAGACCACAAGCTGATATATAAAAATGTCAGTGCTGGTTATTGCTGGATCAGTATGCTTCTCTTTCAATATTTCGAAGTTCTATGAAATGAGTATGAGTGATGATGACAGGGGATCCTTCTCATGTCATTAACATCTTCAGAAAGAAAAGCATGTGCAGGAAGGAAGCCAGGGGGAGCAGAAGTCATGGTCAGGCTGGCTCCATGAGGCAAAGGTCCAAAGAGTCTCTCCGTTGTTTTCTGGAATACCCCTCGATTCAGCAAGGTGAGGCTGTACAAGGCTCAGTTAAATGTTAAGGCACAAATTTCTGTGTGGGCTCATGAACTTGAGAGGTTCAATAAAGATACATAACTGTTGCTTTATCCCACTAATTTAAATTAAACTGCAACAAGAGAAAAATCTGGTATTGCTTCCCAGCTTGCCTCCTCTCCAGGGTGGGCATAGCAATCTGGGGAAAATGTAGACATAGGAATGGCAGAATCTTAGCCTAAGATGACTGAAGCTGAGTTTTCTCCCCCTGTGCAAGGAAAGTTCTGCTCACCCACAACAATTAGTAGGAGTTGGATTGGGAAGCAATGAGWAACATAATTACAACACATTTTTAAATTTTACTGTGAATTTTGCATGTCACAGTTTGAAGTACCATCAGCAAGAGTATTTTTATTTGCAATTATAATGCAAAATTTTAAGTCAATTTTAAGTCAAGAAACTGAGTTTTAATAAAAGATCAAATTCTATTTTCTTAACATTTTCAACAAATAATCAAAGAGAAAGGTAAAAAGAAACAATGTGCATTTTGCTTGATTTTCTGTAACAGAGCCCAATTCGTGAAACAAATGGAGATTATTCTAAATAGGAGTCCCATATTTCCCCAAAATGGAGAAAGAAAAACAGATTAAACTGATGTTAATATTCAAATATATAAAAGTTTAAAGAAAACAATGGCATACAACAGCAGGCAGGAAAAACACATAATTGCACATACTTCAAACAGCTTGTAAAGGTTCTGAGGTGAAAGAAGAAACTATTCTCACTATATCTTGAACTCACATAAAACTAAGGAGAAGAGGAAAAAGTGACAGAGGTTAAAGTATAATACAGCTTCATGAAATTAGGAAAGAGAAAATTTTAAGAAAAATGGAAGTTAGTGTCTCACATTCTTATTCATACATAACATCATGAAATATCATGGATAAAATACAAAAGCAAAAAAGAGGGGGCCTAGGGAATGTTTTAAGGTTTGTTTTGATACCAGGAATTGAGTCCAGGGGTGCTTAACCACTGAGCCACATCCCCAGACTATTTTATTTTAAGACAGGGTCTCACTCATTTGCTTAGGGCCTTACTAAGCTGCTGAGGCTGGCCTTGAACCTCTCAGTCTCCTGAGTCACAGGGATTATGGGTATGCATCACCGCACCTGGCTTCAGGGTGTGTTTTTGGAAGACAAGAAGGATGTGAGCTGAAGCTTCCTGGGGTCACTCAACAGAGGCAAAACACACAGAATGAGCAATGTGATTATGATGCACTGTGTGTGTCCTCAAGCTCCCAAAGGCTGGCTGCCTTCAATTTAGGGATTTATAAAAGACAAACTAGAGGCTAACAGACAATTAACAGAGGATCAATTAAAGGCAGCCCCTGATAAAACAACTAAATAACAATGTTAGAATTTGATTCTATACTGATTTTTTTTTGTATCAACTGTCACATCTCAAAAGCCAATAGAATGCTGAGTGACAGTCTTGAAACCATACATTTTGTAAGACATTCTTATGTTGCTGACTCCGTGCTTGG